AACACTACGCAATGTAAAAGACGTCTTAGCATTTCTCGGAATAGCTAACTTCTATAGACGCTTTATCGCTAACTTCTCTACCGTCGCTCTCCCTATAATAGCGTTAACAAAGGGTATAAATGCTAAAGACCCGAAGCAACGAGCTCTATTCGTATAGACTACCGTATGCTAAGACGCCTTTGTAGCCCTTAAGAATGCCTTTACAAAGGCTCTAGTACTAGTACACTATAATTACGAGAAGCTATATACCGTCGAAACCGATTCTTCCGATAGAGTAATAGCTAGTATACTGTCCTAACTAAGTAGTAAAGACGGCGCACTTAAACTAGTTGCGTTCTACTCTAAGAAGATGTCTCCAGCGGAATGCAACTACGAGATCTACGACAAGGAGCTTATAGCTATTATTAAGGCTTTTAAGGAATAGAGACTAGAGCTAATAGGCTCGGAACAAGTTATTAAAGTCCTTACTAACTATCGCACTCTATAGTACTTTATAACGACAAAGCAACTTAACTAGCGCTAAGCTAGATAGAGTGAATTCCTTTTAGCCTTTTGTTTTAAGATAGACTATCGTCCTAGTAAGCAAAACGCTAAAGTAGACTCCCTTACCCGTCGCGCTTAAGATTAAGATGCTACCGACGACGTCCGTAACCGGTAGCAAGCTATCCTTAAGCCGTATAACGTCTCTGAAGGCATAATACTATAAGTCGCCTACCTAACGATAGACGAATCCGAAGCCGCCGACCTCGCGTACGATTAGTATTATCTCGCCCTTATAGTACTAGAGGTAATTAATATAGGCAATAATAAATCCTCCGAAGAACTTATTAAAGCCGTATACGATAACGACCCGCTTGCAACTGCTATTCGCGAGGCCCTAGCTGCGGACAAGGACCGTATTAGTCCTACGGTTCTCGCTAAACTAAACGCCGGCATCTCGATAGTCGATTGCCGCATTAATAACGAAGGTTATATACGCATTCGCAACAAGATTTACGTTCCTAATAGCGACCTCCGCTAAGAAGTTATACGCGTATGCTATAATAAACCTACCGTAGGACACCTAGGCCGCGAGAAGATATACGAGCTAGTATTACGAGACTTCTACTAGCCTAGTATATACGACTACGTCCGTAGGTATATATACGCTTACGCTACGTGTCGTCGCATTAAAGCTTAGTATAATCAATTCTAAGGCAACCTTCGCTAGCTCCCTCTTCTAAACGGCGTCTAGACCTAAGTTACGCTCGATTACATTGTAGAGCTTCTTACTAGTCTTAATCGACTCGATAACAACACCTACGAGAACATACTTACTACTACTTGCTACCTATCTAAACGCAAGAAGTTTATGCCTGCTCTAAACATAACGGGAGAACATACTAGAGACCTCTAGTACTAGTATATATAGCGCGACGTAGGCTATATAGACATCTTCTATACGGACAGAGGCACTTAATAGACTTCGTCGTTCTTTAAGCGACTAATAAAGAACGTCGGCATAGAATAACGCATATTAATAGCCTTCTATCCGATAACTAACGGCTAATCTAAGAACACTAATAAAAAGCTTAAGCAATACCTGCGAGTATACGTTAACTATACCTAAGACGATTAGGTTAACTAGATTCTAAACGCCGAGTTTGCAGCAAATAGTATCTAGTCGTCTATTATAGGAGTTAGCCCCTTCTTCGCTACGACTAGCCGCAATATACGTACGAAGTCCGCTAAGCCTATAAAACTAGACCTACCTACGGCCGGGCCCGTACGTACGTCCGAGCTTAAAGCTAATAAATTTGCGAAGCAAATAGAATTGCTATACGAATACCTTATTACCTAAATGCGATATATATAAGCACGTACCGCCGCCGCCGATAACAAGGCTCGCCGATACGGACCTGCTCGAAGCTATAAGATTAGAGATAAGGTATAGCTTAATATATGTAATATTTAGACTAAACGCCTAGCGAAGAAGCTCGACTATAAGTATATCGGTCCCTTCGAGATTACTCGAGTAATCGCTCCTAACGTCTATTAATTAGCACTTCTAAATACGATGCGTATCTACGACTATTTCTATACCTCGCTACTTCGACTCGACGACGGTAAGCTATATCCTAACTAGACTAATACCGAACCTCTACTCGAAGCGGACGAATAAGGACAAGAGCGTTAGGAGGTTAACAAGATTATAGCAAGCCGTTAGAAGAACAGCCGTAGCAAGAAGGAAGTTGTTTATACTATATAATAGGTCGGTAGAGCGCTAACGGACAATAAATACACTAAGGATCTTAAAGGAATAGCTAAGGATGCTATCGCCGACTAGTATTACGATAACCCTCGAGCTACTAGACCGCTACCTAGATAGAAGAAGCTATTAGACTAGGTACTATACGAGCCTATAGAGAAGCTACTAGTACCTATAGCACCTCGCCGCTTAGTACGCAATGCGCCTTCTACCTAACCCGTCCGCCGAAGTATTAAATACCTTACCGGTATAGCTCTCCGGTATAGCTCTTCGGACCCTAGCTAAGGCCCTAACTATAAGGGACTATACTATACCTCTCGTATCGTCCGTAGGATATAGCGTCGCGCTGCACTTACTTACTGCCGAGTAGTAGGTCTATTAGCTTGCGGCACGCTTCTTATACTCTGTAACGATTTGTATACTATATTAATGCTTTAAACAAGCGTCGCAATACCTCCGCTTAAGGGGGGGGTAGTATTACGGGGTAACCCTCCTATTCCTAGTTATAGATGCCTTAGGTATTAATTCTTAGCGTTGCTTTTACGCTTCCTTCGGCGTTGTACGCTTCTCTCGTAGATAGCTATCTTCGAGAACTCGTTTTGAACTACTTAGTTGCCGCCTATAATAAGAACAGGTACTCGGCGGCGTTGCTAGATTAAGACTAAAAGCGCTCTATATCGTTATTACTATAGTATCTATAGTAGAATACTCGGTGCCGGCTGTTCTTAACCCTCTTAGGCTCGCTATTCTTTAGAGGTCTCGAATAAGACTACAACTCCGGATTACGCCTATTGCTAGCTTTCTTTCGCTTCTTAGATAGTATAGATATCGGTGTCGGTTGCATAGGTATTACTAAGGACGAGGAGGACTATATAGGAAGGAATAATAGGTTAGGTGTTAGCTAAGGAGGTTGTATAGGTTGATTTAGTAGCAGTAGTATAGGATTTAGTACCTCTCCGGCTTCGCTATCTTCGAGGTCGCTTAGATCGCTCGAATCTTAGGTAAATAGTATCTGTTGCCTATCCTACGTTTCCCGTTATATTTCTTAGCCTTTACGGAAGTTTTCTAAGAGCCGTTATAAAGGCTTAGGGTTTTTGCATGTCTCTACTATAGTAAGGAAATAGTAGAAGTTATAAAAGGATAGAGGTTTAGAAAATTTAAGTTTAATAGGGCTTACTAAGGTTTAAGGCGCGAGCCGAGGCCGCTCGGTTAGTCGACTCCGGAGGTTCCTATTAGGCTTTAAAGACCCTAAATAATGTAATTAATAGGAACAGGTAGGCGCGTAAGCAACTAGAATGCTAACAACTCCTACTATTCTATATTCTAATCCTTTACAATACTACTAATATACTCCTTTACGGCAGCCTCGATATATAAGGCGTTACGAGTACGCTATATAGCGAGCTCGACCTTTAATTTACACTCCTCGCCTATATATAGTAGACAAGGGTCGTAGGCGTAGGGGTTAAGAAACCTAAAGTGCTTCGCCCTCTCTTCTATCCTTAGTATACGCTTGCTATACACCTTATAGCGACAGTCCCCTAGATATACGGCTATATAGTTGCCCTTCTTGCGGATATAATCCTCGAAAGCCTCCTACTTCTTAGTAAAGACGTCGAGCTCGGTATTCTTCGCAATTAGTCGGTATTCTATACCTTTGTATTTCTTTAGTATACGGCGAGACTCTTGTAACAACCCTTCTATAACAGCCTACTAAGCCTCTATTTCCTTATACTATTAATTAAGCCAATCCTAACCTTTTACTGTCTTCTTAGAGTTCTTACGAAGCCTCTTAGCAACTAGTTCTTCTTTTTCTTCTTCTTCCTTAGAAGCGCTAGATATACTATTAGCGATAGACTTCTTATTGCTAGGCTTCTTGTCGATAGGCTGAGTCTAAGTCTATAGCGGCGGTAGCGGTAGTAGCGATAGTAAGGTATCGATAAGAACCTCTACCTCCGATTCTAACTCGCTATCTAATAGCTATACGATTAGCTATAGTAATAGATAGTATTCGCTATTAACCTACCTCGATTACTTCTACGCGCTTCTAACCTATTCTTAATACGATTTTGTATAAGGAAGAGGTAGAAATACGACGAAATTAAGGGATACTTATACGCTATAGTATCGCCTTCGATTGCCTAAGAAATACCGACTAATTATAATTATAATTATATAATTACATATATAACAATCACATCTACAATCACAGTGATTGTAAGTGATTAGGTGATTATAACAATCAACAATCAACAGCTATGATCCTGAGTCAGCATGAGCCGCAGAACACGTGAGGCCGATAACTAAGCCTGGTGAAATGATTCGCTGTTGATTGGTTACTTCTCCCGTCACGACCACCCAACCCAACACCGTCCAGCTGCGTTGGTACAGGAAGCAGGCGTACATTGCATTGCGCCGCCGCCCTCGTTCGCATCTCATCATACCACACGCGGCCGAGCCCGGCCACGCAGAGATTGATTGGCACTGGCACGGGCACGGGCACGGGCACGCTCTCGCTCTCGCTCTCGCTCTCCACATCCAGCTTTCGGCCGTAACGCAGCGCAAAGGCGTCGGATCAACTGCGCTCCATCGACTCGCAAACATGGATTCGTGGATGTATGCGCCTGCCAATAATGGCTCGGCGCCGGCGAAGATACGCAGCACAAGTCCACGAAACTCCACAGAAGCTGGCAGTGCGACCGCCCACTACTCTGCAATTGAGTCTCACAAGGCCGCATCTGCACCGCGAATCCGAAGGCGAAACCGTCAGATCACATCCTGTCTCGAGTGCAGACGCAGAAAGCTGAAGTGTGACAAGTCAGCGCCATGCACCAATTGTACCCGCTTCCGGAGGGACTGCCTCTACTTGGCTCCCGCCAACGATGCACAGGCACAGCAGAAACTGGCGGAGATCAAGGAGAAAATGGGCGCTCTGGAGAAGAATCTCGAGCGTGAAGTAGCATCTCGTGCCCAAAACGCTCGTCTGGGTGGCGGCAATGTCAAGCGACTGACCGACGAGGAAATTCGTGCCCACGAGGAAGCAGCCGAGGAAGAAGAGGAGCCTATCGAAGAAGAAGACAGGCTCGAGCCCACGCCTTTCACAACTCTGGACAATGTATATGAAGACAATAATGACGACGAACTAATGGATCTGGGCGTGCAGATGGGTAAAATGCGAATCTCAGAGCGCATCGGTGGCTGGATCAGACCCAAGCTAGTTGACGAGATCAATGATACCCTTGAAGATGTCAAAGCTGACAAATCACGATACTTAGCATCTCCTCTACAGAATGACCATCACAGCCTGCGGCCAGGAGCAGGACCCAAGCTTCAAGCTGCACCCAAGAGCTATATTGGTCCTGGGCCTGACTACATCGCACCCGCATCAAGCTTCTTTTTCCCGGGTACAAACATGAGCACGAGCTTGATCGACTACCTCCCAAGTAAAACTGCTTCAGACCAGCTTGTGCAGCAGTACTGGCTGGCAGTCCACTACATGTGCCGAACTGTTCATAGACCAACCCTTGAAGCACAATACGCTGTCTTCTGGGGCCAAATAGCAACTGGATCTGAACCCTCACCGAGTATACAAGCAATCATGTTTGCCGCCATGTTCTCGGCCGCCGTAAGCATGAGTAATGATGCAGTGATGCAGCGCTTTGGTACGACGAAGAACGCTTTAGTCGACAGTCTCAGATCAGGCACCGAGATGGCATTGGCCAAAGCCAACTTCCTCCGCACGATCAAAGTCGATACTATGCAAGCTTTCATCATGTACTTGATACCTCTTGTGCGAGCAGAGGTCTCGAGAGCACATTCAGCCCTTGTCGGTACCGCTATCCGCCTAGCAGAATGTATGGGCTTGCATCGCGATGGCTCCCATTACAACATGACACCAGTTGAAGTTCAGGTCCGCCGAATGATTTGGCATCAACTCTGCTTCCTCGATATGAGAACTTGCGAAGCCACTGGACCACGACCACAAATTCGAGCGGAAGACTACGACACAAAGATTCCGTGGAATGTAGACGATGTGGACCTTTTGGCAGACAACGCCGTGCCTGAAGATAAAATGCACTGGACCGACATGACTTTCATGTGCATCCGAGCTGAATGTCAGGAGATGCGTCGGAAAGTCTGGTACGACATCCTCCAGATCGATAAGAAAAAGAAGTCCCTTACTTCCGTTCTGGTCAAGATTCAGAAATTCATCACTTCAATGCATGAGAAATACAAGCGCATGATCGATCCTACAATTCCAATCCAAAAACTCGGCGACCTGATGCTGGAGACACTGACCAAAGCTCTTCATCTTCAATGCTTACACCGCTACCTATTCAGCACGGCTCAGCGAATGCCAGACCGTCTCCGTCAAGTGCTGATCGAAGCTGGCCTATCACAGATGGAGACCTCCATAGCCCTCGAGACCACACCTTCCATGTCGCACTGGGTCTGGTACCGCGGCGCCTTCAACCAATACCACGCCGCCCTGCTCCTCTTGGCGGAAGTCTACGCATACCCCATGCGAAAAGAAGCGGCGCGAATCTGGAAATGTCTGGACTACATCTTCGAAATCCCAGCTCATCTCGCGCCCAAGCAAAAAGCCGAACTCGTCCTCACCGATCTCAGAGATCGCATGGAATTTTATCACCAGATGCGAAAAATGAAGGTCTCAAATCAAATGGAACAACGGCTGGGACTCGGTAGCAAGTCTTTGTATGTGCGTCCGGATATGCTTGAGGCCATGGCTATGGGGCATTTGCGGCAGCAAGATAAAGCGGCGCAAGGAATTACCGTCACGAATCATTCCCCCATATCTCCTGCACAGTTTGGTCCGCCGGCTCTGGGGAGTTTGGATTCGAATTCGAATAGTCATACGAGTGATAGTCGACAGGGTAGTGTTGTGAACCCTGGAGGTAATCCTCAGGATATACAGATGGGTGATGATATGGCTGATATTGATTGGGTCAGTTCCGTCTTTCCTCATCTCACAGACCAACATATATCGTATATTTCGTATGCTGATATTGATGCGTTCATTCAGGCCGAATGGGAAACAGCTTTCGACGTCTCGCACTACACCGGAGACTTAGACCTTCCAGATTTCAACATGGCCGACTTCACCGGCACCACCACCACAACATCGTCTTCCTCTTCGTCTTCATATCCTACGCAACAACCGGCTTATTCACAACAACAACAACAACAACAATCTTACACTTCATCTACTCCTACTACTACTACCACCACCTCTTCCCTCGCCGATCAATGGGCCGGAACCGCTGCCGCCAACATTCATGGTATCAGTCACATGAATTTCACAGCGAATTTGCCTACTGCGGCGGACCTGGCTGATGTGGATTTTGGTCCTAGTACCTTGATACCTGCGGCGCCGGTGGGTGGATATGGGGTTTATGCTCAGCAAGAGCAGAATCAGGATCAGAATCAACAACAAGGGATTTAGTGGTTGGCGGATATGGTGGGACTGAGGATATGACATGACTCGGTGGGTGATATCTTTAGTATCAAGCAAGCAAGCAAGCAAGCAAGCAAGCAAGCAAGCAAGCAAGCAAGCAAGCAAGCTCTTCACTGGTCTGTTTCACATCTCTTTCGGATCATCAAACTGAATGGGAGATTTCTACCGATGAGCTGAGCCTGTCGAGTCACGTTCATAAATCCTAAGGCTCCTTTTCCGCATCTTCCGGTCACTGATATCCATCGAGTGACGAGTCACTACTGTGCAGCCAAGACCGAGCTTTTCGTAAAAAAAGGCAAAAGCAAAAATCTAGACTTCAAGCCTCCACTTGATCCAACTCATTAAAATACAAACCCCGACACCTCACCTCCTCAACCCAAAGCCCCCAAGGCCTAGCAGCCTGCTCTCCAATCGCCTTCCAACTATCCCCACACTCCCTCTCACTCAGATACCGAATCCCTTCCGGTCTCGCATCGCCGCCCTCTTTCCCCCCGACCCTTTCCGCCACGAGCCCGACATGATACGTCCCTTGCAGTAGCAAAGCTTGCATCTGAACCCTCGCATTCGCACACGTATAAATCGCACGATACACTGCTTCTTCGATCGACGTGCCTACACATGTGAATCCGTGTCCTCGCATTAGCACCGTCGTGATGGGTGGGTAAGGGACGGGTTCCGGGGTGGAGGCTGTGATGTAGTTTTTTATCATTCCGGTGAGTTTTTGCGTCGTGGTGCCCGGGTTGAAGCCCGCGGCGAGAGCTGCGCCGAGGTGGGAGGTTGTTATGAGGAGGGAGTGGAGCGGGTCGGAGGATTTGTAGTGGTTTTGGATGTCGTAGATGGGGATTTGGGGGCCTGGGAGAGAGAGAGAGAGGTTAGGAATTAGTGGGATGGAGAAAGGAAGGCTGGCGAAAAGAAAAGGCTGACCTACCTATGGCTCCGGCCATGTGGAATACGGGTTTCAATGGCACGCTACCAATGGAGAAAGGTAGGACGCTTTCATTGTGTGCGTGAATCACGCTTTTGACGTCTTGGTATTTTTTGTAGATTTCACTGTGGATGAAGCGTTCGGCAAAGCCTCTGGGGGCTTCAGGGTCAATGGGTTCGGAGTCTTCGACTCGGTATTCGATTATGTCGGATCTACTCTTGACTAAGGCTGGGGCGAGATTGCGGGAGAGGAAGAATGTGTTTGGGTTTTGGGGATTTCGGACGGAGATGTGGCCGAATGCGTCGACGACATTGTGGTGGTGGAGGATGTGGTTCGCTGTGATTAAAGTGCTGAACAGCTCTTTGGTTGGGGGTTTGCTTGCCCGAAGGAGGGCGCCTCTGATATCTTCTGCCATGGTGTGAGGTCAGGATGTGGTCGGGCATTCCGCACGATGCACAGCATAAAGCTGTCGGGTGTGATCATAGCGGGGCATGGTGTTTGCTCCAGAAATCACACGCAGTATGATGATGATGCTGCGGGGTTGTGCCTTTGCTGCCGTAGTTCTATGCAGTCCAGGTTTCTGTTGACTGACCAAGTTAGCACTCCTTTCGTCCAAGAGTTCCTGCTCTCCCCTTTCAGCTCGTTTCGTTGCCAGTTTCAGTTCCCAACCATAACAAGGAACTTTTCCTGACTTGATAAACGCGATTGCCTCAACGAGAACCGAAACCCTTTCGAACGCCACTCACGACTCAAGCGCAGGATGCCGACCACGGAGATCCTCGTTGCACCTTTGACTGCCGGAAGTGACATTGGCGATCCAGACAATGCAGCGGCAGTGGTGATGAAGGAAGTTGGTGACAGGCTAGCTGCGACGGCTGGTGTGCAGCAAATCTACTTTGGCACGTGGGTGGAAAGTCCAGACACCTTTCAGCTACTAGTCAGTGAGTGTTGAAGCTTTGAGTGTCAGCAGTCTCATCATGCACCATTTGTTGGCTGATATTGCGCCGCTCTAGACTGGGATAAGATGGATTCGCACAAAGCATTTATAGCGACGGAAGTTTACCAACCGTTCCTGCAGCGTTTCCTGACGATGACCGCCGGGGCGCCACGGATGATTCACGCCGACATGCAGCCAGAAAGCGAATTCAGCAGAGCAGTGGCAGCTCCAGTGACTGAGGTGGCCACGTTCTATTTTGATGGTGAAGCTCCAGCAGATTACTTGGAAGGAGTGGAGAAATTCCGGCAAGTCATCGAGAAGGACGGTGCTGATGGATACCTCGGAGCATGCGTAGGAAGCACATATGAGGATGATAATGAGAGGGAAGGCGTCAAGGGTCAGGCGGCAGTGGTGTTGATCGGGTGGGAGAGTGTGGACAAGCACATGGCTTTCCGCGAGACGTCCAGCTTCAAGGACAACATCAAATGGCTGCGAAACGGAGCACAGAAGATCGAAATGCATCATGTGCAGTTCATGGAGTTCGTGGCAGGGTAAGTGTGTTGGAGTGCACAGCTGGAAGATATGGCAAGGCTGTAAGTGGAGGATGAGGCAATCTTGGGAGCGTTCATCAAAATCTCCTCGACTCGCGGCTGCGCCAAGAAATGCCATCTCGGCGTGGGCCTTGCCTTGGATCAATGGCCGCGCCGCGCCACGGGCGTAATCATGGACAGAGTCAGACCACGGACAGCGAGCATGGGCTGTCACTGCCTCTCAGTAGTGAAGAGGTGTCGCGCTTGGTGAGAATAATGGAGCGGATGCCGTGCATACGGTGGTTGTGCGGAGTCGCATTTGTTTCAGTACATAGTATCCGCAGCTGAATTGGAGGCAAACGCCGCTTACTCCGTAAGCAGTCCACACCCATCTGCAAAACCAGCCCTAGAACCAACACCTATCTGCAAAATGCCTATAGGTCGTGTAGGCAGTTATTTTATATAGTTATCTTAGTGTCTGACCGATCCTAGGTTATTCTAACGGTAGTAGAGCGTTCTATAATTATATATAGTAAGGGGGTTGTTATATAGTAGTATAAAGTCGCCTTATATTCGGCTTTATAGCCTACCTAGTCGATACTTTACTACCTATTTATAATATAACTACCCGTCGTATATATATGATTTTTATATTATATAAAAGCCCGGAGTAAATAGATTAAGACTATATATTATATTTAAATATATAGTATTAATATAGCTAGTATTTAGTAGATACGTAGAAATTCGGTATATATAGCTTTAGCGGGCGTAAATCTACTACTTTCTACTTCCTATACTAATACGAGAGGTTAGCTCGGTCTAGTAGTATATCTATATATTAAGAAGCATTAAATAACGTAGTTATAAGGCCTATTAATTATTGTCTAACACTTCCGGTAGCTCTATATTCTCCTCGAGTAATAGGTCGAGTACCTAACCTAACCCTATTTCCCCTTCTATTTTATATAGCTATAGCTAAGAGCTAGGACCTATAGACTATATATACAACACCTTATTGTCGCTATTAGACTCTTCTTTAACAATGTCTTTAGCCGTATATTGTAAGAAGGGTATATTAGTAGGTAGATAGGGTAGTAGTAGGTACGAGTAGTATTCGATAGAAATCTAAGAGGAGAGGGAGGAAGGCAGGCTAGTTAGCCTAACGCTAAGCGCTAAGCCCTGCCTAAGGCATTAAGACCCTAGCTTCACTCGAGCCTAGTTATATACTAATTACGTATAACCTCTTTAGTCCTAATATACGCTTCCCTTCTAAAGGCCGCGCCCTCGTAGCCGGTCTATATTCTATTCTTAACCTCTGTCGCGGCTAACTTAGTAGGTCTAGTAAGCTTCTTAGTCCGCGCTAAATTGAATATATAATTACCGATTATATAACTATATCAAACCTTACCTCTAATACAATACAATATCTAACTCTAACTACGCTATCCTTATATATAATAAAGTAATATATAACTACGAGAATTAAGGACCTTCGACTAATTATAATACGAGCGCGTCTTCCCTACTATAATAGGTAGACGTACGAGGTATTACAGCCCTGCCTCCGCTCTAAGTAATATCGTATCGAGTTCTTTACGTCTACTCTTAAAAGACCTAGCAATGTCCGCTTCCGAGGGTTGTCCGTTCCGAGGGATTGTTCTTATTATTACGAGGGCTATTATTTACTATCGTAGTTTTACTAGCCTAAATTAGTTAGGTTTAGCAGCCTTTAAGTGTTAACTAATTATATCTTTTCAAAAAACTCAGTTCTTCTAGTTTCTATAGGTAAAGGCTATTATAAGTATAGTAGTAGAGGTTCGCCTCGCTTAAAGGGTTAGATAGATCGAGGAGTAACCTATTGTCTGCAAGATCGACCCTAGCTAGCTTAGCTCTATAGTTTTGCCCTTAGTTAGTCTATTAGTCGCTTAATTTTTTAACTTAGTTAAAGTTTTGACTTAGCCTCAAAGTTTTAATCAAACCTTTAATATACTTAAAGCTTTTAATTAAAGTTTTAATTAAAGGTGCCTTAGGCTCGTAGTATAGGTAAGGTTGCCTTCGTAAGTATAGCGACAATAGCAAGTAATGTTAACAATAGCGGCGCTAGTCGTCTTAGCGCTAACTTTACCTCGCTTCTAATCTCCTTCTTCTACTAATAATATACTCCGCAACACTGTTACTAATATAGCCGCGCCGGCCGTGCTGCCTTTTAGTATAGGCGAGACGCCGTCGTTATTATTATTATTACTATTCTACGCGCGCACGCGCCGCCCTCGCCGATCGCCTAGGCCTCGAGGCCTCGATAGAAGGAAGGAATAAGAGGGGGCGTTAAAAGGAGAGTCTTATAGGGTACGCTAGTAAAGAGGTAGATTCCTTAAAAGGGTAGGGGATTAGTCGGCAGTTATAGCGCGCTCGTTGACACTTAGTACGCGTCCGCTATAGTAGTATAGTTTTATTGTCCTTCGTTGCTAACAATTGCCCGCTTCTAATTAGTTAGCTAATAGTACCCCGGGGGTAGCATTATTCCTAGGCGACATTATAGGCATTATAAGCTCTTAGCCTTCTTCGTGTTCTTTACGCTAGTCTAATACTTATCTAACAACTTAGTTATATCCTTAAACGAGTCTTTAGCCTCCTATAAGTCCTATTTAGGTAAATAGCCTTACTATCTTAACAGGTACTCCTTCTTGCCTTACCTAGTCCGGTGCTTTAGAATACGTTCTATAGACTATAGCTCTTTACTATCCGCTAGTATGTCTTCGTGTTTAGTAGGGGCTTCATCCCCCTCGCGTAGGTAATATAGCTTAAGGAGGGATATATAGAAGGTATTATAGATAGTATAATAAGGAGGAAGCTACAACTAATAGGCCTGTGCGGAGGAGCCCTTAACTTCTCGAATGCGGAATAGACTAATATATCTTAGTACGAGCTTAGGCCTTGTTTTGCTATTAGGTAATAGATGTTTGCGGATACGGAGGTTCTTCGTACTAAGTATAACTATGTCGCCTTGTTTAAAGGTTATTAGCGTATAGTGTTTGTTATAGTAGGCCTTCTAATAGGCCTAGGCCTTTGCTAGTTTGTTAGCTATTATAGCGTAAATTTCTCGCATCTTTTAAACCCTCTCTATAGCCGCTAGTGTTTTAGGGGCTTAACGCGCTTCCCTTTCCTTACGCTCGGCCTCGAGCGAGGTAAATAGATCTTATAGTAAAGTAGCGTTTTGGCCTATTATAGCTATATACGGCGACACCTTAGTTAATAAGTAGACACTATTATTATACACGAATTCAGCTAGTTATAGGAGGTTAACCTAGTCGT